GAGGACTGGGATTTGAGATGGAGGTTTTTACTTGCTGGAAGCTGATGAGCTCCTTGGAGCAGGCAGTGAGAAGACACTGAAGTGGAAGTGCCCCTGGAAAAGGACCTGGAAGGGTCGTGTAACACATCTGTCTCTCCTCAGAGCAGGTCTGCTTTGGGCCCCGAAAGGAGCTTTCTGAGAGTCTGGGAACTCCATTTAATGCTGCAAAATGGGCTTTCTTGCCAAAAGTTTTGGCTGTCATCGACATATTTGAAAGTCCCAGCTTAATCAGTTGTGAAGCTGTTCATGAGCATCAGTGGCTCCTGTGTTTGATGGGAGCTGAGGTTCTGACTCTTTAGCAGAAAGGACATGGAACTGTTGTGATTTAAAGGCATTTTTATTAAGCTGGAATTACTCACTCCATCAGTTCGGAGCTGATGAATTTCCAGCCTTAAATAGCTTATTGAGTGTGTCTTGTCAAATAAGGAGATTACACACTGGGCTTTAGTTAACAAGATTTCCAGAAGCACAAGCGCTGAGAAGCTCCAGCAGTGGCGGTGCTGCCTTGCCTGGCAGTCATTCCCCCTGCAGGTGTTTCTGCTGCTCATCTGTGCTCCTGGCTGAGTCTGGGCTCCCTGGGAGCTGCTGAGGCAGCTTCCACGTGTCTTGTGCGTGCCATTCCTGCTGGGTGACGGTGCTGGGCTGGATCCTGCAGGATCTTCACCCCTGGGAAGGGCTGGGCACTGCGAGTGGCCCAGGGCACTGAGCACAGTGCTGAGGGGCAGGGAGGGGGTGGTGGCTCTGGCCCCACGTTCTCTGGTGGGTGTGGGGGGGGCTTGTCCAGCTGGGACTGTGCATCCCTGGGCTCTCACTGTGACCCACTGAGGATAAACTGCTGAGGAACTGGGAGAGGGGTGTACAGAGCCACTTACCTGTTGGGTTAACACTGGGCCTGACTCCAGTTAATCTGGAACTACAGCCCTGCCTTTCTGTGCTGTGCCGGCTGCCCGTGGGGGTTTTTGGCTGAGGAGGGAGGGGGCAGCCCCTTCGTGAGCAGCCACCTCACCTGGAGAACTCGGGCCTGAGCAGGGGCTGAAGTTTTGCTCTGCAAATGAGTGAGTTTGAGAACTGCACGGTGAGAGAAATTCAATTTATTTTGTACAAGGTAGGATACCTTTGCACAGTGAACAAATATATTACAAATCTGTCTCGCCTTAAAAAAGTATTGCCATTTTGGTGCCTGTTTCCTAAGCTAACGCTAATATACAAGAAGGTACCTTTTTTTTTTTGTTGGTTTTGCTTGTTTTGT